AAACATAATTTTTTACGTTCTGCTGTTAAACATATCCAATCCAAAAATTTTAAAAATTAAATTTCATCATAAATTCTGCTATATTTTTGTGGTAAAACAAAATCCCAATAAGCGTATATTGATTGGTTTGTGCAAAAGTTATAGTGTACTACAAACTGGGATATATATACTGGATTTTTTATTTAGTTATTTTTTTATACTGGTAATGACGGCTATCAGCAACTTATAGTGGAACTGCGATATTGCGGAGGACAATCTGACTCTAACTGACACTTTGTGGGAACCAATGATCAGTGCTAAAAATATACATTATCGCTGCACTAATGACACTGGCTGGGAAGGTTAAACATCAAGGGTAATCAAAGGATTAACTGTGTGCCTAGTCAGTGTTTATATGTGTACTATGTGGTGTTTTTATTAAGGGATGTGCTGGATTTTATCTCCTGCTTTGCAGAGGGAAAAAAATCTAGCACACCGCCACTGTAAAGGCACGATTTTATTAAAATAACAAATATGTTATACTGTAATAGGTTTGCACAGAGCAGCCCCGATGGGGTTGCCACCTTTTCAAGTCAAACGTGAATACTTTAGCAACCCACAGCAATTTTGTTTTGTTTTGTTTCTTTTTTGAGTATACAAAGCGAAAAGCAAAATGTAGTACAAATAGATGTAAAACCTGTGTAACCTTTTTAAGAATTGTGCTGTACCAGAACGCATGGGATTTTGTTACCATACACTTTGCTGCAGGTGAATGAGCACAAAAACAAGATGCATGGCTGTGTGTTTTTGTGCATTGCAGTAATGCACACAATTTTACACACATTCCTGCAACACGCAAATGTGTGAGTAAAAGTGCCCCCTTACATCAGGTGTCACCAGTAGAGCACTTCCTTACATCAAGTGCCCTTAGTAGCATGCCCCCTTACATCAAGTGCCCTTAGTAGCATGCCCCCTTACATCAAGTGTCCACAGTAGAGTGCACCCTTGCATCAGGTGTGCCCAGTAGCGCACCCCCATACCGCACGTGTCCCCAGTAGAGTGCCCCTTACAAAAATCATCATTAGTAGAGAGCCCCCTTACATCAGGGTCCCCAGTAGACTGCCCCCTTACATCAGGTGTCCCCAGTAGAGTGCCCCCTTACATCAGGTATCATCAGTAGAGTACTCCCTTACATCCGGTGTCCCCAGTAGAGTTCTCCTTTACAACAGGCATCACCAGTAGATTGCCCCCTTACATCAGGTATCCCCAGTAGAGTGCCCCCTTACATCAGGTGTCCCCAGTAGAGTGCCCCCTTACATCAGGTGTCCCCAGTAGAATGCCCCCTTACATCAGGTATCATTAGTAGAGTACTCCCTTACATCAGGTGTCCCAGTAGAGTGCCCCCTTACATCAGGTGTCCCCAGTAGAATGCCCCCTTACATCAGGTATCATTAGTAGAGTACTCCCTTACATCAGGTGTCCCCAGTAGAGTGCTCCTTTACAACAGGCATCACCAGTAGATTGCCCCCATACATCAGGTGTCCCCAGTAGAGTGCCCCCTTACATCAGGGGTCCCCAGTAGAGTGTCCCCTTACATCAGGTGTCCCCAGTAGAGTGCCCCACTTATATCAAGTGTCACCATTAGAGTGCCCCTTTACATCAGGTATGCGAGTGGTCATGATTATGTGCGGGAGCCAGTAACCTCACATAGCTTTCAATGGGGCTGTCTCCCACAGCATATTGCTGGGGACCCATCGCTGGAGATCTAGTATCTTAACGGAGTGTGGCTACACTCGATGTGTCAACCAATTTTGAAACTTTGGCATGTGGATCGTCTCTGCTGTGGGCTGGTTTTCCTAAGTTTTATAGCTCTGCTCAGTAACGGACCAACCATTCGGGCACTCACGCACTGCCCGAGGGCCCAGGGCTGTGAGTGAAAGATTATGGGGGGTTATGGTTGTATGCGGTGCATGGTCTAAGTATGATGGAGTGTTTAGGGGGACATTGGAGGCCCTGATGTAATATGGGTAACATTTAACAGTGTCATTTCATGAAATAATTTATAAGGGCATGTTTAGGGGCGGAATTAGGGGTGTAACAGCGTAGGGGTTGGGTAGGGCAACTGGTGGCGAGTAACTCTTAAGGCCTGGCTAGTAGCTCAGGACTTTAAGCCCTGCAGTAACCTCACATAGCCTTCAATGGGGCTGCCTCCCACAGTAAATCCCCAGGAACCCCTGCTGGGGTTTAAGCATCTAAACAGAGTGTGGTTACATTCGAAGGTATGAATGCACTCTAGCATCTCAACCAAGTTTGAAACTTTGGCATGTATATCACCTCTGTCCTTAGCTGGCCATCTTTAGTTTATAGCTCTGCTGTAGTTAGCTGAGCTGCAATTTATTTACAGGTCTGATCAGGGTTTCCCTAAACCTGGTGGCTTATTGCTTCTATCTGCTGCTGGAATAATGTTCCAGCAAAAGGGGGGTAAGTCACTGAAGTTATGAATAGTTTTCTGACCCTAGCCAATTCATGGGAGGCTGACCCATGAAGGCATGGCTAGTGAGAAGATACTGTAAATATCTGGGAGGATCTAAACAGTCTCTCTCTACCCTGTGGCTTCTTCCCTGGTAAGGGAGCATAGTTACATAGTTATATAGTTAGTCTCGCTGAAAAAAGACAAAAGTCCATCCAGTTCAACCATTAAAAAAAAAAAAAAGTTATAATCCTACACCCACAGTTGATCCAGAATAAGGCAAAAAAAAACCCCAGCAAAGCATGATCCAATTTGCTCCCTGCAGGGGAACAAAATTCCTTCCTAATCCCCCAAGAGGCAATCGGATATTCCCTGGATCAACTTTACCTATAAATGTTAGTGTCCAGTTATATTCTGTGTATCTAAGAAAGAATCCAGGCCTTTTTTTAAAGCAATCCACTGAGCTGGCCAGAACCAACTCTTGAGGGAGTCTATTCTGCATTAAACAGTGAGGTCGGTTTGTAAGTTGACAAGGACGTTATTCCACTGCACAGCTTGGTGTCATCTGCAAAGACTGAATGTGTGTGTGTTGCAGAAAGTTACAGCTAATAGTCCTCAGCATATGCCATGAGCTGATGGCCAAAAGAAGAGTTGCATGAAGGAAGCTTGCCTGTGTTTTGACATAGAGAAAGCTAAGGAATCTGTCCTCATCTTCATGTAACAGCACTAGCTGCTTGGGCCCAGGGACGTATATACCGCGAGGCAAACAAGGCGTTTGCCTAGGGCGGCATTTTTCAGGGGGCGGCGCCACCCCCTGAAAGAAGGGACACACATGAAGATGGGGACATGTTGAGCACAGCGTGTCAGTGTGTTGAGCCTTCCCAGTGTACCGGCCACTGCCGAGGAGTAGAAGGAGGAAGAAGGACATCTGGGGTACAGTCCTGAGGAGCGGTGGGAGGCTGCTGGAGCAGTGGGAGGTCGGCAGGTGAGGTGAGGATGGGGACATGTTGGGCTCGGTGTGTCAGTGCGGTGAGCCTTCCCAGTGTACCGGCCGCCGATCAGGAGAAGAAGGAGGAAGAAGGACATCCGCAGTACAGTCCTGGGGATATGGCATGGCTGCTGGAGCAGTGGAAGATCGGCAGGTGTGTGTGTGTCTCTCATTGTATATGGGGGCAGGGGGGGATCAGTGTATATGGGATCAGTCTGTGGGGGGGATCAGTGTATATGGGGGCAGTCTGTTGGGGGGATCAGTGTATATGGGGTCAGTCTGTGAGGGTATCAGTGTATATGGGGGCAGTCTGTTGGGTGGGTGGATCAGTGTATATGAGGGCAGTTTGTTGGGGGGTATCAGTGTAAATGGGGACAGTCTGTTGGAGGGGGATCAGTGTATATGGGCAGTCTGTGGGGGGGGGGATCAGTGTATATGGGGGCAGTCTGTTGGGGGGATCAGATCAGTGTATATGGGGACAGTCTATGGGGGGGTCAGTGTATATGAGGGCAGCCTGTAATGGAGGGATCAGTGTATATGGGGGAAGTCTGTTGGGGGGGGGGGATCAGATCAGTGTATATGGGGACAGTCTATGGGGGGGATCAGTGTATATGAGGGCAGTCTGTAAGGGGAGATCAGTGTATATGGGGGCAGTCTGTTGGGTGGGGGAAATCAGTGTATATGGGGACATTCTGTGGGGGGATCCGTGTATATGGGGTCAGTCTGTGGGGGGATCAGTGTATATGGCGGCAGTCTGTTGGGGGGGGCAGTGTCTATGGTGGCAGTCCGTTGGGGGGGATCAGTGTATATGGCAGCAGTCTATGGGGGGGATCAGTGTATATGGGGGCAGTGTCTTTGAGGGAGAGGGAGAACATTCTGGGGGGGTTCAGTCTGTGAGTCGGAGGGAATTTACATCCCACCATACCCTACATACACCCATCCACTCCCTGCAGAGACCTGACGTCACCCAACACTCCTCATTACACCCATCACACCCCAACATATCCTGCCAGCACATCTCATAGATCCCACCCTACTATATTCTGCATACACCAATCACATAAACCCTCCTGCACCTCTCACACCCCACAATTCCTGCTTACACCCATTACACCCTTCGTACAGCTATAGCTCCCCCATCACCCCCCATAATACACTGTATACACCCCTTCTTCATTGTCACCACCCTTTACACCCTAGTTGCTACTGTCACCATGCAACCTCTCTCTCACTGGGGAAGGGGGCGCACAGTTTTTGTGTTGCCTAGGGCAGCACAAAACCTATATACACCACTTCCTGGGCCACCCACTGCCACTGGCTGGTTATGGGGCCCCCATAGACGGCAAGTTGTTGTTGTGTGGGCAAAGTACAGGTTCACTTTAGGAATATGTAATGCATTATCTTTACATCTTGCTTTTTTTTCCAGCACAGGAAAATAGCATGTACATGAGAAAATGCAATTATTTCAACAAAGTCCATTTCTACAAATAAAACTTCTATATTTTTCCCTTGAGACTTTTTAGACAGTGTACAAAACTTTATAGTAAAAGGCAATGTATGCCAATCTTTACTGTAATACAAAATAAAATAAAGCATTTCTAAAGTTACAAAACACGCAGCCACTCATTGAAGTTGGTGGGGATGCGGCTTACCCTTAAACTGTGCAGATGGTTCTTTACTGTCAGAACGATAAGGGTGTCGAGCTCCCTTCCACAATCGCTGGTGTCAACAGGGAGTGTCAATAGTTTCAAAAAACTATTGGATGGACATTTTAGCAAATGCAATATACAGGGATATGGAAGTAAATTTTTACACAAACACACCCACACAGGTTTAACTGAATGGACTGGTGTCTTTATTCAAACTACCAACTATGTAATAATGTAAAACATTTGGAATTTATACATATGTATAGTACAATATAATATTCATTACGGGATACCCAATTGTCAATGGTTATCTACTATTATCTGTTGTGTTGCATTGTACTGTGTTGAAATAAAACATCCTGCATGCTGCTTTTTTGTTATATTGGCTTGTATTTGCCATTCAAGTTAATTGAAATACGAGTTTTCAAAAACAGTGCATTTGCAATGAATTCCAATATATGTGATGGTGATTTAACACACAATCCAGCCTTTGCCGCACTGATGAGCCAAACGCCCATGTAAAAACACTGGCCAGCTGCTATGCTTGCACATAACTAGGATCTCTTCTTTCCTTTTCTATGATTCAGGTACATTGTTCATGTTTTCTTTACTTACATTGATTTTATCTGCATTTTTCAGGTTTAAGGCACCTTACACATTATACAGCTACAAATCTTGTGCTTGAAAATTGCATGCCAAATCAACTTCAAACCTTAGCTCATCATTATATAGCTGGTGGATCTTTGTTAGCCTCAGACACACTCCGAAATGCCTTCGTTAATCCATTGTTACAATGCTGACCTACTCTGGCGGTTTAGCGACAGTATCCCTCAGTTTCATAAATCCTTTGTAACGGATATTTTGGCAATGGTAAATTAGTGAGTCACTGGCACATTTGCGTTAGTTGTAGTAAATCTGCCTCACTAGGTATTATGTGTTATGGTATGAATGAACCCTATGGTTAATAAAAGCAGGGAAGAGAATACATGCAGTATGTTAATAATTATAATAATCAGTTAAACACTTTTGTTTGTTTTTTTAAGAGGTAATAGGGTTGAGTTAACCATGGTAAGGATTAAGGTAAGGGTTGCAGTATCCAAATCCCTCTAGTAGGTAGTGCATTTCAATTTTCTGTTCTCCTGTTCATTTCTCCTTGTCTCACCAACAACCTGTTTTTTTTAATTCACTATGTGTTTGAAATCTACTGCTAGGTTGCAGCTCTATTTTAAAAGAGGTCACAGTGTGGTATGAGGGTGAACGTTAGAAAAATCTAAATCTGTACAAGACAAATAGGAGATATATTGATTTTCCCCAGCTTGACCCTAGTGAGAGTGTGTTGGACTGATGTAGGGACAATGATTGTAATCTCCGTTATGAACAGGCTCTGTGTGTGAAGCATGAATTGTTCATTGTGAAGAGCTGCCGACATTGATACTATAAAAAAGAATCTAATACATTCCAGAACAATCACCAGATAAGAGAGGAAAGAAATCTCTGTGCTTATTCATTAGTAAATATTGAGGGAAATTTATTTATCATTACCTTGTGATGTGCATGTACAATGTACTTATGAGTACGAATCACACAGATTACGTGTAGTGTAGTACTGAAATACAGTATTGTAATATTTTTTACAGCAAAAGTAGGCTTTGAAATGTATCAGTGATGTGGTCCTGATTGATCTGTGCATGGCAGGCTGCTGATGAGTAGATAGAGTACAATAGACTGAGTCAGGCAGCACTGCACTGTGGGAACTATAGTCATAAGGAGATAATCTATTGTGTAGTCAATAGCTTTTGAACTACGTTCCCCAGAGAGAGAACTGAATTTTCCGGGCTATACAGGACACAGATTCCGTTTGCCATGATGGAGATGGAAGAGTGCGCATTGCTGTCCAGTTTGCACCATCACTGCTGCATGTCGGCAGCCTGAGCAGGATCTGGAGTTCTGAGTTTGGGGGTGCTGACTGCCAGAGTCACTTAAGTGCAGAAGAGAGTGGACTGATTGCTGTGTGTCACCGGATGGTGAGCTGCATAATCACTGAGACTGGTGAGCTGCTGCAGTGGGGATTTACTAACCACCACTAGAGAGACTAAGCCCTTCAGACTCTGACCATTCAGCCATCTAGTGGCCTTATTGCTGCCTGCAGGCTTAACATGGACTAATCTCATGTGCACCTATAATACAGTACAACTGGGCCCCAACGCTAGCCAAATGAAGAGTTAGGACTAAAGACTGCCACTTTACAGCTGCTACACAGAGACATTTACCTATTGCTTATACTAAGAGGTACCTCTCTGGGACATTGCACCCAGGGGCGGACTGACCATTTGGAAACTTGGGCACGAGGGCCCGGGGTCAGTAGGGGGCCCCATGAGATGCCCCTGGTACTTTTTTCATAGGCTTTTTTGAGTTTGGGCAAGGACACAGGGGCCCATGATCCCCTATTGCCCAGGGGCCCCATGAGTTGTCAGTCTGCCCCTGATTGCACCATATCCTAGCCATTCTCCAAGATTGCTCTCTAGACTAGTTATAGTATTATTATTCACATTGCAGTTAATGCTTATATGCACTGTTTATTGCTGACTGTTGATTTATTTGCTGATATCAGTCTAGTGGTATAGAACTCTATTTTAAGTTACTCTGGCATAGTGATTATAGTGTCTACCAGATTGTGTCTGAACCTGCCTACTGTATACTAATTTAAGCTCAAACAACCATTCATTCTAACCTGTACATTGAGTTCATTTCCCACTATATGGTCTTGTGTCTATTTCCTGGTACTAACTCAGAGCCAAAGTAAAGGTATCTATACTGTATGTCTGTTCCTATAAGTGCTTGCAGTGACTTTCATTCAACCAGGTGTGTCAGAGAGGCTGAGGTTGTTCTTGGAGTGGAGGTGCAGAACACAGAGCCCAAATTACCAAGTGATTCCTTCAGCGGAAGCGCTTAACTATTTTTTTTAGGAATAATGGAAATTATCAAATGATTAAACCTATTGCAAATAAATGCAAATTGTTAATTACATATGCACAGAGGAATTATAATCATATGTACTGTACATTATTTAGTTAAGCAAAATGTTAAAGGTAAGTAAAAAGTTATTAAGTAAAAAGACAGTCTGTAATTTTTATAAATTTGCAGCCTAAACTGCCCCTACACAGTTTTAGAAGCTACCTATCAGCCTTTAGTGAACAAAAGATTACTTAGAAATTAATAGTACATGGCAATCTGCCACCAACTGTTTACATAGTGTCCTTTTTTATTGAGCAAGTGACTGACTAAAACTAAGGTGGTATATTGTATATCAATAAAACCACAACACAAGTCGAAAGACATATTCCATCAATTTGAGTCCTTTTTTGATTGTTTCATACCTCTCAACTTTCTGAAATGATAAGGAGGGACAACTTATAGCACACATTGGGGAAGATTTACTAAAACTGGAGATTGTAAAATCTGGTACAGCTGTGTATAGAAACCAACATTCTTTCAGGTTTTATTGTCAAAGCTTAACTGCTTCCCATCCATCCTATAGTACTGCTACAGGGAGGCACGGGTGCACAAAATCATATATATATATATATATATATATATATATATATATATATATATATATATACACACACACATATACATTTATTTCCGGGTAGGGGGCGCTCGGCCTCAGCTGTCAATCACTGGCTTCCGGTGATTGCCGAGCATCTCCGAATGGGGGGGACAAAACAGTTCTCTCCCCTGGCTAGTGCCATGCAAAGCAGTGTGCTTACAGTGAAGCACAAACACAGCCCAGCATGCAAAACAGCATACAGCACACAGTTAACCCTTTGATTACCCCACGTATTAACTCCTTCCTGCCCAGTGCCATTAGTACAGTGTCATGCTTGTCATTAGCACTGATCACTGTATTGGTGTCACTGGGGATGTCAGTGACACCAAGTCAGTTCCCCCCAGTGTCAGAATGTCTGCTGCAGTCCCCCAGTCACTGATTGCCACCATTACTAGTAAAAATAATTGAAAAAAAACCAGTATATATACACCGCCATTGGTAAACGCTATAACTTTCACGTAAACCAATTAATTAACATGTATTGGGAATTTATTTAGCAAAGAATAGCAGAATACATTATACATATTTTGATCTAAATTTATGATGAAATTTAATTTTTTATTTTTTACTGGACATGTTTAATAGCAAAATGTAAAAAATATTGTTTTTTTTTTTCCTAAAATTGTTGTCTTTTTTTTTATAGTGCAAAAAATAAAAAATGCAAAGGCGATCAAGTACCACCAGAAGAAAGCTCTATTTGTGGGGGAAAAAAGGATGTAATTTAATTTGTGTGCAGCATTGCATGACCGCGCAATTGTCAGTTAAAGTAACGCAGCGCCCTAACACAAAAAATGGCCTGGTCAGGAAGGGGGGTAAATCCTGTGGAGGCCAAGTGGTTAATTGAACCAGCTGAATTTAGAAGCCAATTGGCTACCATGCACAGCTGCACCAGATTTTGCACTCTTCAGTTTTAGTAAATCAACCCCATTGTGTAGGCAAAGAGTACATCCCTGCCACGACCTCAGTTGCATGGACATAAAGGTCCAATACAAACCACACACGTGCTTTTTTTACCTTTATTTGTCCTTTACAGTATATTGATTTTTTTTAAATTAAAATGCAGTAATACAGACATTGGATAAAATGTTTAGTGCAGCAACACACTTTTTATAGTAAAATAATGCATTTTGTATAGAGATGTACAAATCAGATCAAAAAAGAGGGAGAACCGAGGCTGCACAAGGAGATATTTGGTCTCGAAGGAGCAGTTGGGAGCTATGATTATTTGGTTGTTCAAAGCCAGGAACTGAATTGCCATGGTGTCAGGAATCAAGGAATGACCAGAAAGGTGTGGACTGACACAGGGAAACGCAGGTTTCAGGTATAGTATAATACAGGTTATTAGCCACCCAGATATATATATAAACGCACAGTGAGCAAACGAACCTTCCACTAATCTTAGGAGGTGCAGGAGCACAGGCGTAGTCAGGGCTGGAGAGGTGGAATGGTCAGGCCGGCCGTAGGGTTCTGTAACGACTGCCTGGTGGTACCTCTAGCGGTCCTCAGGGCAGGATTCCCCAGGGCGCGGAGTCTAAGTCCCAGTCTGCTATTCACCAGGGCCCCTGATGGTGGGGATGGACTTGGAGCAGACAGGAACCAGGTCGCGGCCCCTGAGTACACCTGCTAGTGATAGAGGGATCCACCAGAGGTATGTGCAGGTACGGCTGGATCCGTGCAGGATGGATGGATGGATGGCAGAGTAGTGAGCGTGGTCAGACGGGCCAAGTCAGCAACGTGCGGGCAGCAAGGTATCAAAGGAGCAGGCAGAGAATGGTCAAGGTCACAAGCCGGGTTCAGTAACTCACAGACAGCGCAGTACAGAGGATCAGGCAGAAGGATGGTCAGGGATGAGCCAGTATCAGAACAGGAGACGGTCAACAGGAATCAGGATCAGGCAGGGTCGGCAACAAGGTATCTTCTCACAGGAACTAGGAACAGGATACAGGGGCTCATGGGGAGACATACACCAAGGCCCCGAGCACAGGCCTGGTCATGCCTTATATACACCTTTCTGTAATCAGCCCCAGGTTTGGCTGATTGTGAGCTTCTGGCTGCTAAGAGCACCCGCTGGTCAGCTCTGGTACTGCAGCCCACACGGCAGGAGAGTCCCACCACCAGTGCTGAGAGCACCCGCTGGTCAGCTCTGGTACTGCAGCCCACACGGCAGGAGAGTCCCACCACCAGTGCTGAGAGCACCCGCTGGTCAGCTCTGGTACTGCAGCCCACACGGCAGGAGAGTCCCACCACCAGTGCTGAATCCATTCCTGACACATGGGCTGTTTAATTGCACACGTTCCTGTCTTCACTCACACGTTGATGAAAACCTATAACCAAATGTACAGCCAGACCATGGCCTGGCCCATGAGGTCTTTCCATAAATCCAGCTCTGATTTGTGCAATATGCACTGAAGATTGTTGGTAGCAAAGCAAAGATCTAAAGATCTTGAAAGGATTGAATCTCACACTTGAAATACAAAAACCTTCTGTGCTTGGGTGTCTTTATAATATGATCCCTTGCTATTTTATGTTTTACTGTATGCTCACCTGCTGTAGCTGCATAATAAATCTTTAGTAAGATATTATGTGGGAATAGCAAAGTCATGTAGAGCATACTTAAACATTTTATTCATGTATCCTAATCTCCTTTACTTCATTTTATATGAATGCAAGATATCTCTAAGGGCCACTATTGAATATTGACTGACTGCCTAAAAATGATAAAACCATTGCTTGAAGTACTTTACCCTCACAGAATGAAAACCTTAGCTTCAGAGGTAATTGGTTTGAGACCAGGATGGCGCAAACAAAATCATTTTGCATGCTGTGGGAAATATTTGGTTACCAAAACCATCTATCACAACTGACAGGCCTAAATTGGCAACTCAGCGCATGTTTCTTCCAGGTATAAGTCACATAGCTGTTAGCTGTTCCTGCAGCATTGAACCTGAGCTGTTTTTGACAAGCAAGGAATTCCTAGAAGAATTTTCTACAAGGCAGTGCAAGAATTCGTAATTTTATGTGTGCCATACCACAGAATCCACCAACATGGTTAATATTTTTATTTTAAACCAGACACAATTCTTTTTATAGTTAATATACTACTAAATCGTTCATGTGATTATTTTTCATGTTTAGTGGTATTAAACCCAAAAGCAAAATTATAATATATTGCAGCTTACCTATCATTAGATATGGTGGCTGCATTTGTTTTTTTTTTTTTTTTTTCAGGCTTTCCCTGTTTTCACCTGGTGATCCAGCAAGTAACACTCCTCCTGTATAAGAGTGCCTGGATGAAGGAACACAGCTTTGGACAGCAGCATTGTTAATCTAGGGGGAGGGGAGTGTCAGTTGGACTAGCAGATTACAAATTGAAGCTAACCTCCAGCTAATAGTTTATAAGCAGTTAGAGCAAACATGTTTTACATAAATAAATAAAAGCTGATCATTGTAAGCACCCTTGTCAGGGTTAAATGGGTTGTCTCATCACTATAACTGCTACATTTGCAGGAGAGCTTGTTCTGTTGAAAAACATTTGACTTACTGGCTGGATCACCAGGGGAAAATAAAAGAAAGAAAGCCTAAAAAATAGAACTAATGCAGCCATTGCATCTAAGAATTGGTTAGCTGTAAAATAATAAATTTTTGCTTCTAGGTTTACTGTAATACTGCTTTAAGAAAAACAATGTGATATACACAGATAGATAGATAGATAGATAGATAGATAGATAGATAGATAGATAGATAGATACTACAGCTAGTAATTCAGTGCCTAGTATCCTCTAGCAACCAGAACAAGTAATAATTGTAGGATGGAAGTCGATGGTCCTAGAGCTCTTAAAGGCTACTTTGGCAGTCATGACTGTAGTAAAAAATAAAATGCTATTTTTTTCTCTAGCACTATTTCTGTGAAGCCTTCGTACTTGAGAGAGTAAGTTAAACCCAGACCAGTGTTGAACTAGACAGAATGTTACTACTGGTACTCATGGTACCTTAGCTGCACATATTTGTGCTGTACAAATGTTATGATGGGCCCAGGGGCGGACTGACAATTCATGGGGCCCCCGGGCAATAGGGGATCATGGGGCCCGTGTCCTCGCCCACACTCTCAAACCACACCCCAAAAAGCCTAGGAAATGTACCAAGGGGCATCTCATGGGGCCCCCTACTGACCCCGGCCCTCGGGCAGTGCCCGAGTTCCCAAATGGTAAGTCCATCCCTGGTTGGGCCAGCACAGAGGGGACATTGATATTGGGGCCACTATAACCAACAACTTTCATGTATTCTAATAGTGTTAAAAGTTGGCTGTCTACTCGTATCTAATCCTGTTGGCCAGGAATGCCACGCATCCTATTGATGGATCAATAAGAGTAGGCAAGAGATAGGCCGGCTTTCAGCATCCTCCAAAATCCTTGAAACTAGTGTGTCGCAGCACACCTGATATATTAATTCTCCCAATATTGTAATGATTTAAGCTGAACTCCAAACAGATATAATGTATACAATTTAATGCAACTCTGTAATCATTAATACATTATTGAATGTATTTTAAATGCAAGTAGTATAACATCTATAAAAATATAGATCACATGTTCTTATAAAACAAGAATAGAGCTATCATTGACCATGGCCATTCAAAAGTGCCTGTATGTTTGAATGTATGGCTTAATTAACTTCCAATGTTTACATCTAAACAAACTTCTACTGAAAGAACACAAGGTGTTAACTAGGGCCACACTATAAAACAAATGGTGTTGTCACAGATGGAAATGATAATAATATTACCTAGTAAAGTTCTAGAGGTGTGTGTGTGGGGGGGGGGGTCATTTACTGTTTTCTAATAATATACAGTCATGGCCAGAAATATTGGCACCCCTACATTTCTGTCAGATAATGTACCACTTTGCACAGAAAATTGTTGCAATTACAAATATTTAGGCATTCTCATGTTTATTTCTTTTGTTTGTATTAGCATGACACAAAAAAGTGGAGAAACAAAAAGCCAAATCTGACACATTCCACACAAAACTCCAAAAATGGACTTGACAAAATTATCGGCACCCTCAATTTAATATTTGGTAGCACACCCCTTTGAAAAAATAACTAAAATCAATTGCTTCCTGTGAAAATCAAGTTTCTTGCACCTCTCTACTGGAATTTTGGACCACTCTTCGTTCGCCAAATGCTCCAGGTCTCTCAGATTGGAAATGTTCCTTTTCCCAACTGCTTTTTTAGATTTCTCCAATCAATTCATGTGCTTAGAAGGAGCATGGTAAAAGGAGAAGAGAACAAAGTGACAGAGATTAGCTTATCTGTCTCCTAGATTGTAAGCTCCAAGGAGCAGGGCCCTCTATTTCCTATTGTACCAAATTGTATTGTAACTGTAATATCTACCTTCATTTTGTAAAGCGCTGCGCAAACTGTTGGCGCTATTTAAATTCTGTATAATAATAATAATAATCAGTCTGTTTTTCCTCTTTTCGCTGTCCAGTCACAGAGTGGGGAGTGAGAAGGATAACTGTATGTGAAAGTGCAAGAGACAAAAGTCAGGTCCTTTCCCTATCATGCAAGGCTTTGCTGTGTGGCATAGCAATATACATTGACCAGCCACCTAATTACGCATACCTGTTCAATTGCTTGGTAACACAAATTGCTAATCAGCCAATCACATAGCAGCAACTCAATGCATTTAAGCTTCTAAACGTGGTGAAGATGACTTGCTGAAGTTCAAACTGAATCATCAGAATGGGGAAGAAAGGAGATTTAAGTGACTTTGAACGTGGCATGGTTGTTGGTGCCAGACGGGCTGGTCTGAGTATTTCAAAAACTGCTGATGTACTGGGATTTTCACACATGACTATCTCCAGGGTCTACAGAGAATGGTCCAAAAAAGAGAAAATGTCCAGTGAGCGGCAGTTGTGTGGACGAAAATGCCTTGTTGATGTCAGAGGAGAATGAGCAGACTGGTTCTAGATGATAGAAAGGCAACAGTAATTCAAATAACCACTCATTACAACCAAGGTATGAAGAATACCATCTCTGAATGCGCAACACATCAAACCTTGCAGAAGATGGGCTATATCAGCAGGAGACCACACCAGGTGCCACTCCTGAACAGTAAACAGAGGCTACAATTCACACAGGCTTACTAAAATTGGACAATAGAAGATTGGAAAAATGTTGCCTGGTCTGATGAGTCTCGATTTCAGCCACCAGATTCAGATGGTAGGGTCAGAATTTGGTGTAAACAACATGAAAGCATGGATCCATCCTGCCTTTCTGTATCCATCCTGTATTAGACTGGTGGTGTAATGGTGGTACATTTTTGGGCTCCTTAGTAATAATTGAGCAGCATTTAAACCACAGCCTACTTGAGTATTGTTGCTGACCATGTCCATCCCTTTAAGACTATAGTGTATCCATCTTCTGATGGCTACTTTCAGCAAGATAATGCACCATGTCACAAAGCTCAAATCATCTCAAACTGGTTTCTTGAACTTGAACTTGACAGTGAGTTCACTGTACTCCAATGGCCTCCACAGTCACCAGATGATCATGAATGAACAGCCGACAAATTTGCAGCAACTGCTATCATGTCAATATGGACCAAAATCTCTGAAGAATGTTTCCTACACTTTGTAGAATCTATACCACGAAGAATTAAGGCAGTTCTGAAGGCAAAAGGGGGTCCAACCCAGTACTAGCAAGATGTGCCTAATAGAGTGGCCAGTGAATGTAGATATCAGGACTGGCTGAACAGAAATACAAAACCTTTTGGCAGGTAAAAAAGCTTTCATATGTGTATTTTATCTGTCTATTTAGCTGCTTGCCTGAAGTTCATCTTTATGGTCCAACTCACACAGTCTTCATTTATAAATACTAGTCTATAGAGAAATGTGTAAAGCAAGCCTTTATAAAACTTTAGCAATAGGTTTTATTTAACCTTTGTTTACTTTTGCAGATGTACGTCATACTTTGCTGGCAGTGGGGGGTTTTACACACATTCTGTGTGTACACTCCACAAGCAGACTGTCAGTTATCTGATGAAAAAGATAAAGTGGCTATATGGCTGCCTGATCACTTTCTGTGACCCCCCCCTCCCCTCCATGCTGCCTGGGCTCTGCTGTCCAATCTGATTTTCCCTAGCTGTAAAGAACTCTGTAACAAAGCTTACAATGTCATTTCCAGTTCTCGTGTCACTTTTCCTGGCTGCTGGGGACAGGAAGAAGCTACTGGAGCTGAATTTGTGTTCCATTAGCTTCAAGGAAAGGCAAGTGAGATATCAGGGGTTGATGTCTCAGAAAAGAGAACCTCTCACAAGGAGTTAATATTGAGTAATTTATCATTTGCGACTCGGAGGAAGTAGTATGCCTTATAGAGTGTCCTTGTGGCCTCCAATATATAAGTTAGCCATCCAAGTCAGAGAAAATATTTGCAACAATAGAAGGTCACAG